CTATAAGACATATCAAATATCATCCTTTTAAAATCGAGGGGAAATTACTGTCCTTTACACAGACACTGGACAGGGTGTCTAATAGAAGAATCCTCCATCTACAAGCAAGAGAGGTGTCGTGGGAAAGACCCAGTTCATCAAGAACTGGTTCCGGCTGACAATTGGTGGGATTTTGAAATGTATTAAGATCCAGTTTTCTTGAGAAGAAATCTCTATCCAATAAAGTTATTCGGGAGTAAGTGGCCCTGCAAACCCCACTGTGAGCCATTGCCCCACTCTAAGCAATTGGACTCCTGCCGAGCAAATAATTGACGAGGATCGCAAACTTTCACTTCTCGATCTGATAGTCATTTCCGGAGAAGCAAATCCTAATTATTTCAACGGAATTTACTGCAGAAAGAGTATTTTTGATGGTAATCTTTAGGAGCGATTCTGTTTACTTTGAAATGTCTCAGTTAGTTTAATGGGACTTCGTGGCCCGTAAAACATCGCAGTTTTTCTTCCCATTCCCGACGCCTGTTCGCGAGTCAAGCCGCGACTGAAGCCCCCCTTAGCAAACAAACATGAGAATTTTGCCCTGCTTTGAAGGTCCCATGTCTCCCCAAAGGACCGTGACTCTCTGGGGCTTTTGCTGGCAATTTCTGGTCAAGGATTTGAATAGCTTTGGCACTTCTCCGCAATCAAAGGCCAACCCGCCTTTGATACCTGGGCAGCTGGGCCAGGTACTCGAAAACCCTAACACTGGCCCCAGCAGTCGGGGTTTTCTGGCAGCCTGGCTCAAGACAGTGCGGAAAGGCCACCCTTCTTCTTCCTAAGGTGTGGGGAGGGGGGCGCTCACGGTGTTTTGCACGGGACTGTAGGAGAGAGTTTCTCTGATCCTTCCCTGCCACGGGTCCCGACGTCTCCCTTCCGGCCGGGGTCAGCAGCAGCTGCTGTTCTCTGGTTCTCACCCCCCCCCTTCAGCTGTTTGCAACCTTGCTTTGTAATTATAATATAATCGTATCGTTTATTGTTCCGTTATCCTAAAGTCTGTCTCTAGACTCCACCCTAGCTCGATGGCTCAGCGCGGCTTTTACTCCGCGACTATTTCGGTCAGTTCACGCGGCGCCCTTCTCGAAGCACCTTTACCCAATAAGGAAAACCGGCGGAGTTTAATGGGGTTCGCTCCCGCAAGATGGAGCAGAGGCTCGCCGTCATTAACATAGTGCTCTCGGCCACTTATGGTGGGTCCCGGGCGCTATTTCCATATCCCTGACACCCACCCAGGACAGAGCGCGGGGGCTGGCTGGGGAACTGGCCAGTCTTGTGGCAAGGGTTGGCTTTGACTTGCAAATAAGCCTTCTCCGGTCGCAGCAGAAGTGCGCAACTTTTGCTCTGCTTCAAAGAAACTAAGGCTCCCGATCTTTTTTTTTTTTAATTGCTTTCCTTACTTTCCTGGGAGTAACCCTCATTGAACAAAATGGGACTTAACTTCTGAGTAAACCTGCTTAGAAACCTAAATCGGGTGTGTGTGTGTGTGTGTGTGTATGTGAAGGTTGCAGTCCAGATGCTTTAACGTGTGTGCGTGTGTCTGAGTGAAGAGGTATCTTTCCTTTGTTTCCATTGATCCGGAGGCGGCAGCCAGCACCGTGGCAGGCTGTGTGCGCCCCTCCCTCCCACATCCCGATCGGAGACCCATCCGTTCGATGCGCAGCCCTCTGAAATCAATACGATCTTTCAGGTCCGCTCCCGGCTCCGGCTACACGCGCGCTGCTCGCGGCACACGCGCCCCTTCCACCGAAAGGAACAACTCCGCTGGGTCGAGGGGAGAAGCCCGCGCCCGGCCGTCCCGGGTCTGCGAATCGCGGCGGCGGCGGCTGCGGCCTGGTCTCGTTTGCTTTCTTGTTCACCTAGGCGGCCCGTCTGCTAAGCCGGCTCCCCTCTTTTTTAAAATGCCAGACTTCGGACGTCGAACTTGAAAGGGAGGGAGGGAGGGAGGCTTTCTTTAGGTCCGGATCTCGTCCATATGTTTAACCCGTTTTGTGCAATCTTGTGGAGGAGAGACTGGGAGGAAGAAGCCCGGAAAGAGGTCCGCTCTCTCTGGATGACCGAGAGCCGGGGGCTCCCTTTGCTTTCCCGGCGCCCTTCCCGCCTTTCCCGTCCAGGCTTCTCCGCACCAGGCGTCGGAGTCGGGTTTCCAGTCGCCTGCGAAGGCAGAGCCCGGAGAGTCAGCCAGGCGCAGCAGGACTTGCGTTCCCCGGGGGCCACTTTCCGGAAAGGCACGAGCCGGCGGCGGCCAGGCCGACCTCTTTCTCTCTGCACCCCCTCCCCAGCCTGGCCGGAGGCCTCCCGGCACTGCCTCCAGGCCGGGCTTCAGCTCCGCCCGAGACCCCGATTCCCGCAGGATGGGACACCCTCGGACCTTGGCGCTGAAGGGGCTCCGGACAGCCAGTATCCCTCCTGCCGCCGCCCTCGGAGACTCTGAGCCGCCTCTCCCTGGGAGGGCAGTGGCTGTCCCTTGCAGAGGTCGTTCTCCTGTGAACAGAGGCGCCGAGATGAAGGAGAGCCCCGGTCGCAACCATTTAGCCCCGGACACTATTTTTAATCCGGCCACGACTCGGACGGAGTTACTTTAACAAAAGTGCCTTTGATCTTGTGCCGAATGGATGTTCTCACTCTCGAAGAGAGACGGGCCTGGGTGCGCTTAAAGAATGCGACTTCCAGATCGGCTTAAACCCCGGTGCCTCTCATTTTGCGGAATAAGCAGGGGCTCTGTCTTGGGCGGAATCAGCCAGGGAGGGGGCGGAGAGGACTGTTTCCGCTTCTAGGCAACGTTTGAGGGCCCCGGGACCTGAGGGGTAATTCCCCCTTTCTGGTCGCCGAGGCACAAGAAGCGACGACAGGCCGAGAGGTCCCCCGCATTTGGCGCAAGGAAATCCTGCGAGCCACACCGTCTCTGCAGACACCGTCGATCCCCAAAGCATCCGTAAACCGAGCTTACTCACCCGTTCAGCTAGAACGTTGTGGACATCCGTTTTAAACTAACACGCCCTGCCTCTCTTCCTTCCTCTCATCACCTTATCTGTCACCTTCACAACATCGTCTATTTAGAATAAAGAGGTGAAATTAACAAGAGTTGAGAAATGGGGGGGGGACAGCAAGAGGAAATGTACACAGATCTCTCTCCATTTCCATTTCCACCAGTGATCGTAGGCAGGTTGTGGGTGGACGGAGTTCCCTGCTCTTTTCCTCCACCGTGCAGTTATGTGGGAAACAAGATCTAAGTTGCGAGGAGGAGGGGGAGAAGTATCTCTCGGTCACAACTGGCATCCTGATTTTCAAGCCCTACAGAGTTCAAAGGAATTTTCTCCGGAGTTCGTGTATTTGTCATGCTATGTGCAGTCGTTTAGAAGCCATAAACGAGAGCCATTAAGTAACTGCTAATTTACAGCGGGATTGCGGCATAAAGAGGGTTGTTGGGTTTCTTTTTTAGAAATTTCAGGTTGGACGGCAATCCTTATTTTGATTACCTGAGAGTAAATTCCAGTTACCCCGTATCCCTATTCTTCAGGTACATAAATATATTTACATACATTTGTCATTATTTGTGTGTGAACATCGGTCTTGACCCATAAATATCTGTTTCGGTATTCCGGGCACCAGTTACAGACTCTTCAGCAATTCAATTCAAGTTGAAGCGCTTGGGCCGATTTCCTTCTCATTGCCCCCGAGTGAATTGGAAGGGAGAACAATCTCTGCCGGTCTGATAAAGGGAGGATTGTAGGGTGGGTATCTGATTTGAGATGCCAGCCACGACTCTGAAACTTTGATGAAACTCTTCCTAAAGGCAGCCACCAGAAAACATCCAAGGTGGGTGGCGTAAAATACTGCATAAGAAGTCAGCCTCTGGTCATACGATTTTTTATATTTACAAAAACACTTACAAAAAAAAAAAGAGGAGCATTGTGAAAATTTGCAATTCTTCAACTCCGTCGGCAGGACTGCCCTCAATTTCCCGTAATTCCAGGACGCTCCCGAGATCCCTTCAAAACTTTCCCAAAACTATTGCGGTAGAATTTTTTTGAACTGCGAAGCACTGACTCAGTAGCTCAGCGACTGGGCTGTGGGACCCGCCGGTGCTGTAGCGCCCCCGCTGTCAGTCAGTGGTCAGGCCTGGGTGGGGCTCTGGGAGTCCCCCTCTGCCCCCCCCTTCCCACCGTGTTTTGCAGTGTCAATCACAGCGCAAAGTTCTTTTCCCTCCCGGGTCTTTCTCTCCCAACCCAACCCCCCCCCCCCCCCCAAATATCCCAGCTCCCAAAGCCCGCCTCCGAGTGGCTCAAAGCAATCTGTCAGCCGAGCCGGGGAGCCACCTCAAAACAGATCGGGTTACTTTTGACTGACAGCGTCACCATGGCAAATCATTTGATTAAAACTATTGTCTTCTCCTTGGCAGTCCCCGGGTCAGATAACTGGACCAATCACAGCGCGGCTAATCACTTTTTCATGCCAGTTTAGAATAATATTATTTGGGAGAGAGGGAAAGGGAGAGAAGAGGGGGGCGAAAAAAAGAAAGGGGGGGGGGGAGAGACCCGGCGAGGAGAGGAGAGGAGAAGAGGAGGAGGAGGAGAGCGGAGAAGCAGACGAGGCGGCGAGGGGAGCGGGACGCCTTCCATGTAAGAGAGCCTATCGCGGGACGGGGAAGGGGGGAAGGCAGAGAGGCGGCGGGAGCCGACCGGAGATCCCGAGGCCGGCCAGGGGGTGGGGAGAGGCGAGGCGAGGCGCGCGGCGGTCCCCGCACACAATAGAGGCTCCGACTTCTGCCGCCGGGGAGTCCGCCCCTGGCCCGGCCAGCGCGCCCCCTGCCCCGCCCGGCCCCCGGAGGGGAAGTCGGCGCTTGCTGGGCCAGTCGGCGGCTCCGGCTCCGGCCTGTCCCGCGGCCCTCGGACTAGTGCCGGGCGAGCGGGCCGCCCCCTCCCGGCCGGGGCAGATGCGCTAGGGCGGGCGCCGCCGCCGCCGCCGCCATGTCCATGCTGCCCACCTTCGGCTTCACGCAGGAGCAAGTGGCCTGCGTGTGCGAAGTGCTCCAGCAGGGGGGCAACATCGAGCGGCTGGGACGCTTCCTGTGGTCGCTGCCGGCCTGCGAGCACCTCCACAAGAACGAGAGCGTCCTCAAGGCCAAGGCCGTGGTGGCCTTCCACCGGGGCAACTTCCGCGAGCTCTACAAGATCCTGGAGAGCCACCAGTTCTCGGCGCACAACCACCCCAAGCTCCAGCAGCTCTGGCTCAAGGCGCACTACATCGAGGCCGAGAAGCTGCGGGGGCGACCCCTAGGGGCCGTCGGCAAGTACCGGGTCCGCCGCAAGTTCCCCCTGCCCCGCTCCATCTGGGACGGCGAGGAGACCAGCTACTGCTTCAAGGAGAAGAGCCGGAGCGTCCTGCGCGAATGGTACGCCCACAACCCCTACCCGTCCCCCCGCGAGAAGAGGGAGCTGGCCGAGGCCACCGGACTCACCACCACCCAAGTCAGCAACTGGTTCAAGAACCGCCGGCAGCGCGACCGGGCGGCCGAGGCCAAGGAAAGGTACGAGTAAGTACGGCCGCCACCGGGGAGCTCTTGGCGGGGCCCCCCAGCCCACCCCCTCCCAAAGGCACTTTACACACGCTTACTCGGGTGTAAGCTCCAGGGAACTCGGCCGGACTTACTCCCGAGTAACTAAGCAGAAGGCCGCCCCGTTAGCTATCAACCCAACCTAACCGGTGGTGGAAAAGTTATTTCTTCCCACCACCACCACCCCAAAAAAGGGAAGAAAGAACGCGGCCTTTAAATGACCACCCTGCAACCTTGTCTGGGTCTGTTTCAAACAACATTAAGTATACATTTGCGGGACACGATCTAAGGAGAGAGAGGGAAACGCAGCCTAGTGTTTAAAACAGGGGCCAACTCATGCTAGATCTGGACATTACAAGTCCAGGCCACAATCGGGTGGAGCCCAGGATCCCGCCACGATCCTACACCACCTCCTCTGAAATTCAGAACGGAATAAATGGAATTGGACGAGTGTGTGGTGAGGGGACCGGAGGGCGAGAACTTTCTTGCAGCTCTTGCCTGCTCTGTCTCCACTCCGTCTCTAATGTTCTGGTTTGTTTGTTTAGTTTGTTTTTTAAACACCTTATTCCGCGAGCCATTTCAGTAAGAAAGAACCCAAAGTAATACCGGGGCGCGCGGGGTGGGGTGGGGGGAATAGAACGATGTTCCGCATTCTTTTATCTTGACGTGAGTTATGTAATTTACCTCGAACACGTCGCAGGCCATAAGGTCGCAGTTACGCCCAGCGTCTCGGGATGAAACAGAGGAGGTTTTAGGCCACTTTCGAAACAAATCTACTCACGACGGAATCGGGCTGAAAGGTCAGTTGCTGGCGGCCAAACCTGAATTTCTCAGGCTGGTCACCAGCAGCCGCTTTCTTCTTACTCGGACTCACTAGTGTGGCACTGGCAGGGCGAGGGCCGCTGGCTTCAGGCTCACAGTAGGCTTTCCCAGGCCTCCCCGTACTCGTTTCCTTCCGAAGGGAGCTGCTCGGCGGCTGCTGGCTGTGAGACCTGCTGTCGCCAGAGTTTTTCGCCAATACGGAGGGTCCTCATCACCCGCTGGTCTCCGGCGACCGGCTGTACTTTCCCATTGGACCTTGAATGCTAACCGGAGGGCAACCCAAGAAAAAACAGGGGCTTGGTCAAATAGGCTGCGGGTAGTCTTGGGGAGAAATGGCGGTGTGTGTGTGGAGGAGTAGCTTGATGCCTTTTATTAGGACCCATCAAACTACCACAAAAGAAGCAGCAGCCTTTGACTTTCCCCACAACTCCCGATCGAGTCAAACCTTTCTGCCGGGAACCGGGGCGTGGGCGTCTTTCTGAGGCGTTTCAAGTGGACGTCGGTCCCACCCCGCTCTTAACAGCCCCATTTCCTTGGAAATAAATCCCATTCGTTTCAGTTCGGCTGGAAGCCTGGAGGAGTAGGCTTACCTATCCGGATGCAAATTCTTTTCCTTCGAGGAGGTAGGCCTTCCCTTCCGACTACACAGGAGGGGAGCTCCCAGGCGCTGAGCTGATTCGTGGGACAGGGATACTTTGCTGTCACTGTTTCACATTTTTCAGATCCTGCCTGTATTAATTCACAAGCCACAATAAGGGCATCATCTCCATATGCTCTGACCCTAACAATCGACCTTTTATATATCATTTATCACCTGAAGTCCTCTTCCAGCTATTTCACTGGTCCCTGTCTCTTAGGAGCAACAACTTGGACTTTTAAATGGTTTAGAGATCCTAGCGTAAATCCTGGAACTTTAAAGCTGCAGTCCTGCTGCTCAGACTTCCTTGGGCGCCAAGGAACCTTCTCTTACCCACGCGTAAGGCCTGGGCTGCCCCCTCACCCGGAACGACCAATGTCACAGCCCGGAGTAACCAGCTAATCGTTCCCACCCGCGATCTCCGCACACCTGAGAGGTTTAATCATTTGGTTGTTGCAAGGGGACGCGGATATCAGTAGGGAGGAAAGCGAACTGTATTACTTTCAGACGCTTTATGGAAAAAAATGACAGTGAACCCACTTCGGAACTAGGCTGGATAGAACACGCTTTCCCTGGAGTTTCTATTCGGTCTGTTTCGAAAGCTTGCCCTAGACTAGAGAAACCGGGAAATCTTCGCTAGGACAGGGGAGGGAAGAAGGCAGCGCGGAAATCTACTTAGAAAAGGGCACTTAGGAAAAGGTATGTGGGCGGAAGGAGGTCGCCCTGCCGCAGTCTATAGAAGTCTGTCTCGTCGAGCGGCTGTAGGTGAGGCCTAGGCCTCTTGCGCCTGGAGAGAGGGCCAGCATTCACAGTGGTGCAGCCGAGGGAGCTACTCTAGATAAGTGGGCGGTAGTTTTAGGAAGGCACCCACGGCTAATATAATTCTTCGATTCTAAACGGCGCTTACTGGGAAGCAGGTTCTGTTGGGTGCGAGTGCGTTAAGCCTGGATTTGCTTGGAAATCACTCAGTGGGTCGCCCTGGAGATTATGGGCTGTGATTTGTGGGTTGCAGGTCAACACCTCGGTCCCAATTACCTGGGAGCAGTTCCCGTTGGAGGAAAGTTGCTCTGAAACTAGGGAGGGCCAGGTGCACCCTTGGGACACTAGCTGACAGCAACGCCTTCCTCAGACTGAGTTGGGAGAACACCCGCTCATTATACATGTGAAATAACGGCGACAGAATGGCAACTGGCCCCCCTCCCTAGAATAGGGGCCGGGCAACTCTGGTCTTCGGCAGGCTGAGGGCAACTTCTCAGTCTCTATGCAGAATTTCTGCCGTCCAAAATCATGCTTAGATTAGCGGGGCGCTACGTGGGATTAAGCTATCGGGCGCGCTGCTTGTCTCCTGCGGCCTAATTGCTGGGGACTCTCCATTCCCTTTGGAGTGTGAAGTATTCCGCGGGCGATTCTGGGTCCTGAGCCGGGCGGCCGATTCAGCGCTTGGCACCGCCTCCCACCAAATATGAGTATAGAGACTTGATGGGGGGTTGGTATAATAAAACAGACATCATCTGTCTGGACTGACTCTCTATACTGCAGTTCCCCCCCCCCCATGAT